TGATTCAAACGATCAGCTCATCATCAAGCTCTGCAGAAGCCTGACAATGATCCTGATCATGTGAATCAGGTGTGTTGGAAGATAGAAACATCTAAAACATGCTGGATAGGGGCTCTCGAGGACCAGGATTGGGCACCCCTGCTATAAGGCCTACTATGGCTGTCCACAGAAACTCATTTGTGTGAAGCAATCAAAGAAAAAAAGCGAGAGGAGGACTTGATGTGCTGCTGCTCCGGGACAGTGTGTCCTCCATTAGCCTCACTCACCTGAACCTCACCGTCTGACTTCTGCGTCCTAAACTGAAATCCTAATTGCATGGTCTTCAATTTCAGAGTGATGATGAAGTCGTGACTTTTTCTTTTTTTTTCCAAAACAGAAAATAAACAGTAATCCAAATTTACAACACCCTCCTAGTCAATGATTTTAGATAATATAAGTACATGTAAACAGTTCAGCTAAAATGTCCCTGAGTTTAAAAAAAAAAAAAAAAAAAAAGGGACCTTTAAGCTACAATTTTAAGTCTTCCTGTGAAATGGCACGCCACAGAAAAGTAGCTCAAGAGCTGTTGATTCTTTCTCTTTTTAAAGTTTCTGGCTCTAAAAAATAGTGTCATTTTGTATAATAATGTCATAATAATCAATTATAGCTGTTTTATCTAATTTGCAATTTAGGAAATGTGTATCTGGACAGTTATATGTATTTTTTGGTCATAAATTTATAGTTTTTAACGTTTCTTCAAGTTGAGCTGATTTATTATAGGCTGTTTAAAATGTCTCTTTATGGCTTGTCCTGTTACGGATCCACAAGCAGCACATTTTTCATCTGAGGTTGTACATGTTGTTGAGGAGAATCTAGAGGCTCAAGATTTGACTTTCTTCCACAAAGGTTTAGCAGAGCTTGAACATTGGTGGAGGTGCAAGGTGGAGCAGTGGTTAGCACAGTTGCCTCGCAGCTAGAAGGTCGCCAGTTTGCATCCCGGTGAGGACACCGGGGATCTTTCTGCGTGGAGTTTGCATGATCTACAGGTTCTGCGGCTTCCTCCCACAGTCCAAAAACATGCTGAGGTTAATTGGTGATTCTAAATTGTCTGTAGGTGTGAATGTGAGTGTGCTTGGTTGTCTGTCTCTAAGTGTAGCCCTGTGATAGACTGGTGACCTGTCTAGGTGAACCTGCCTTCACCCTGAGTCAGCTGGGATAGGCCTGGGTAAGCCCCCCGTGATCCCAGTGAGGATTAAGCGGTGTATAGATAATGGATGGATGGATATTGGTGGGCCAAGTGCATTGAAGTTGGAGGAGACTATGCTGAAAAATAATGCTGTTTTTTTTTTTTTTTGTGCCATTTTTTTGGTGAGGCCGAGAACTTTTTGAAGTTCTCTCATAGAGCATTGACCAAACAGTTGCTTTTAGATGTTCCAAGATCTACACACAAAAATACAGGTGATCAAAGACTCACATCTTTACATCTATTTGGCATGTCATCCAGGTAGGGCTTGACACCATGACTTCATCTTTTAATGTGTTGTATCTTTTGTTTTACTGTATTTTATTGTGTTTTTATTCAGATTCGTCTTGCAGTCATTGTGTTTGTGTCTTACAGGTTGTTTTTTATAACTGCATAGCACTTTGGTTCAACTCCGGTCTTAAGGTTGGTGGTTCGATCCCCTGCCTTCCACATGCCAAAGTGTCCTTGTGCAAGACACTGAGTCCCAAGTTGCACCCAGTGGTAGTAAAGCATCCTCTATTGTAGGTCTGTCGCCACTGGTGTGTAAATGTGTGATTGGTTGAATGAGAAACAAATCGCTGCTATATAAGTTCACACCATTGAGCACAACTCACACGGAAACCGATCTTTTCCATTCTAATTGGTGCCACTTCCATATGTGGTCCTAAGTCAGATGCAGTTCAGATTTTTTGCAGCAGGACCTCAGTCTGAACAGAAATATTCTTTCACACCACTCGCCTGAGCTTCGTGTTTTGCCTTAAGAGTGTTGTGGAGTGGCGCTGACAGATGTAGATAAAAGTGGCCTCTGACATGAAATTCTTGATAAAAATCTGTTTCAGTGAAGCTATTTCCGTTGCAATCCCCCTGCTGCTTTCCTCCATCTCCGCATCCACACACATAGAGAGAGAAGCCTTTTCCTTGTTATCATATAAATATACGCTCTTCTCCAGAGACAGAGATATTGCGGATGACAGTTTGCGTGTCACCTCTCGGAGTGGATGGAGTATTGAAAGAGTTCTGGAGTACAAATATCTTGCTATGTGGTTGGATTTAAATGATGTAGTTTAAGGAAACCTGTCCAAGCGTGGCTGTTCTGTTCTTGCGGGAGGCTACAGTTTGTGCTTTGTTAATATTAAAAGCGTTTCCAGTGGTTGTATTCGTAACGGTGTCCTCATTCAGTTGCTCAGGCACAAGCAGAAGTGTAATGTCCTCCACGGTTTCTTCAAAAAACTAAGAATGAAATATGAAAAAAACACTACAATACCTGTAATAACACACTTGTTACACAAACAGCAGCTATAGCCGGTCAGCTTGCTTTACTGGAAATAAAGATACCACTCCTGCATCTGCTAATGTTTCTGAAAAAGATGCCTCTCCTTTTTTTTATCCTCTAAAACTGGGTGAATATTTTGGTGGATGCTCAGCTAATCGATTCAGCCTTCTTTCTATTTGTTTCAACAGACAAAATGCATGAATCACTCTATGGCCTGTTAAGTTATAGGTTGGTAGAAGAAGCTCATTTTCAGAATCTATTTGTCTTCAGCTTTAACCTGTTCCCAGATCGTTGGTGTGCTGGTACTAAAAGATGTCAACGATAGGATCATTTGTCACTTTTCATGGCTTTCTGCTTTGGAATTTGATTGTCTCACTCTACTTTTCTTCCTCTCCCTTAAATTAGATTAGATTCTCCTGAAGACTTTCATGCAGTAATATGAAGTATTATACTGCAGTGTTTTTGGCAGTTCAAAATAAGCCTCTGTGGTTTTATGATGATTATGTTGGTTATCCATTTGTTTGAACAAAAAAACTTTTTTTAAAATTATATTTGAAAGTGTCAAAGTACACACCGTTAGCATCAGTTAAGGAAATGGTTTCAAGGTTTAAAGAAATCTAATTTAATGATTTAGATGAACCAATTAAACATTGTTTTGATGAGTTTTGATTAATGTTGGGAGCTGAATATAGTGTGTAATTTAAACTTTTTTCTTGCATTACTTGTTTTTAAAACAAAATTAAAGTTGAACTAAATTAATAGAATTGGCTTGATAACTTAAATTTCCTCAACCTTGAGTTCAAGAGTTGAAGCCCTCAACTTATAAACTTGAAAACTTGTGCTCATGCTACCAATTAGTATTGTTAGTTTTACACATAATTGATTGTAAAGAAAGACTAATTATGTACACTGTCATCTTATACAGTTATATAATAGCTAACCAGCAGTAAAAGATTATTTCTGTCTGTCTAAAACCCAAACTAGCCAACTTTAGGTTGAGCTAATACTGGTATGCACCATTACCTTGCAGCAGCATTAGCTAGCTAGTGTAGTTTCTTTGCTAATGTAGGCTAAAAACACATCTGTTCCATTTTTGTGTCATTAATTCAAATACCAAAGATAACAATGTTATAACTTTTGTCCCACAGACTCCTCAATTGTAAATTAATTGGCACTTCTCAAGCTGTTATATGTATAAATACATTTATTTTACACTTAAAGTCAAAACAACACTAAATTTGAAAATGAACTTAATTAAAACAAGTGGCGAAGGAAGGTGCCCCTTTTTCAAAATATAAAATCTTTAAGTCTGTTTAGATTTTTAGTAACGCCTTAATTTGATCACTTAAGCATAGCTTTGGAACAGCCTTCCTCTTTTTAATCAAATACTCCTGCTCCATTGGTGGCTTTTGGCTGTTAATATTGGTTTTAATACTTTATGTTTGTTTTATTTTACAAATTAATCTCACAAATGTCTATATTATACTAGAAAATAGACTTTAACAGTCTTATTTATTTCATCATGTCTCATGTAGATTTCCATACTAATTCCTGCTGTACTGTATTTTATTATGAGTGAACCCACTCACTGAAAACTGAAGTTCACTGAATTTCTGAGCCGGCTTCCCCCCACAGGACCTGAATGCAGCACAAACCAGCCTCATGAGATGATGATGACGAAAATAATTTATGTTACATGTTCATATGCAATTATTCTGCTGTCAAAGTCAGAGCAACGTCAGAATTTGAAAATACAATTAATCAAAATGATCTTCCCAGGTTGTGGATGGAAGATGCCCCTTTTTAAGATTTAAATTTTTAGTTTTATAATAACAAGGCTGCAGTTCATGTATATATATATAGGCACTTATGAATTTCAGTGTATTTATTCATAGCTCATATCTATGATGTAACAATCCTTTATATATTTCATTCTGTCCCACATGGATTTTCATACGATTCCTACTGTGCCGTGCTGTATTTTATTATAAGTATATTCACTCATTGGAAACTGAAGTGGGCTGAATTTCTGAGCCGTTTTCCCCCACAGGACCTGAATGCAGCACAAAAGAGAGCAAGAGACAGAGAGAGAGAGAGAGAGAGAGAGAGAGAGAGGGAGGGAGGCAACAGCGCAGATGAGCCCCAATGAACAGCAGCCGGGTCCTCTTTCAAACAAACACTCACACCACACTCCACACACAAATGCCAGGACACTCATGCACCATCAGTCCGAGCTGCCTGCCGCCGCCGGTGGCAGCCCTCACCGCTTCTCCGAGACACAAAGCCGGCAGCCCGCTGGGAGAGGAGCCGCTTCTGCTGCCTTCATAGCACAAAGGAGGGGAGAGAGGAGAGGGGAGAGCCGGGGACTTCATTAGGGAGGCGGTAGATAATTCAGCAGCAGAGCTGGGGAGAGCGGAGGCAGAGAGGAGGGAAGGTGAGTGAATGCATTCCAGTCCAGCTGCTGTTGCTGCCGCTGTTGCTGCTGTTGCTGCTGCTGCTGCTACTGGAGGAGGAGGAAGAGGAGGAGGAAGCTCAGCGTCTGGAGAGGCTGGAGGAGCAACATTTTCCTGCACAGACCCAACCAGAGCAGATACCCAGCAGTGACCAGAGCACCTCCAGGCTTATAGATGTGGAAGGAGCACTGTGCAAGTTGTTCTCCTGGGTAAGTCAACTTCCCGTCTTTTCCCTCCCACTCATGGTTGGCGATGTGACACTTTCACACACCTCTCTGTGAGCCATTCACGCACATTGTGTTTATTCTCCTCTGCTGCCTGTGTCTTTTCCCCCCTCTTCATCCAGTTTGCTATTTTCAACTGTCACCTAAACAGACGACCTGATGAGCGAGAGATTCACCCTGTTCGCACTGTTATCCCCTCAGCCTCCTCTCACTCTGTTATGGTGCAGTCCCGGCTGATCGATTTGCTCTCTAACTCAGATGGACATCGGGTCTTATTATCTCACACTGCCTGTGCTTTTCTATTGTCATCCTTGAGATGGTGGTGCTTGTGCAGCCATGCAGCCACTCTTTGTGTGTGTGTGTGTCTTTGGTAACCAGTTCTCAATTAGGTTTTAATGATCTAAACGTGGGGTAGGAAGGAGCAAGGCAGCCTTTGATCGATTCCTGCAGTCATCTCAGGGCGAGAGGCTCGGTGGCTGTCGTCTGCATGACATATCTAAGCCTCGGTGTGTTTGCTCAGCCTTCTCTCGGCTCCGTTCCTGCCTTTACAGTGCCTCTGTTCAGTTCTTAGTGCAGCTGCCGGAAATCCGATGATTATTCCAAGAATGGTCTGAGTGCAGTTTTTGCTTTAATCTCATTCCTCGTCTGTCGTGAACTGTGCTTTATCTCTTGTCCCAGAAATTCTTTCATAGATTTCATACATTAATAAAACATGCAACTGGCTGTTACAGTTAAAAGATTGCAGAGACCAGGAAGAAAGAAATACACTCAGTGATGGCCACAACCTTCTTGTGGGTTTTGTCAGGTGTTTTTGTGCCTTTATTAGAAAGTTGACAGCTGAGAATAAAGGCATACAACGGCGATCCCTGGAGGGACTCAAACTAATGCCCTCGGCCCCTCAGACTACCAGGGCCACCGTGTTTATAAACCCAGACTTCCACATCTCTCAGCCGCAGGCAGCACTTCCACTGTATTGATTCATGTGGTCTGCCACTGGCCCTCGCAAAGATTTTCACCAATGTCACTGCATGTTAACCCCGATTAATTGGCCAGTGTGAAACCAATAACAGCAGCGTAGAGACCCACATGCTTGTGCAGCGTTTAATGTTTTAATTGCTGGCACATTTCTAATGAACTGACAAAACTACTAGCAACGTGTCGCCCGCTTCTTGTGTGCTGTGACTGAAGAATTAGGTTTTTTTTCCTGTATAAATGTCTTGCACTGAGGTGAAAGAGGCACACAAAATTCATGTCTTGTTTTTAGGAATTTGAGGCTCAGGAGGTAAAGCAGGTTGTCTCCTAATTGCAGATCTGGAGGTGCTTGTTCAGTCACCGGCAGCCCGCTTTTTTTTTTTTCCTGTTGAAGTGCCCTTGAATAACTGAACCTTAAAATGTTTGCGATGGCCAACAAGGCTGCAGTTGGCGTGTGAGACAATGAGTTAATGAGCCGCACATGGCTTTGACTTTGTGTGCTACAGGTGCAATCCATTCACCGCTTTTTTTGTGTTATCGCATCGAGCACACATTAAGGGATTTCTATTGTTTAGTTCCTGTCTTTCTCCACGTGTGAACTGATGGATGCCTACCTGCTTGTTGAGAGCATTTACCATCTAGAAACCAAGAGGAAAAAACCGCTAAAGCACTGAATTGAATGCAATTATCCAACAGCACTTAATGGTACCCAAGATGCCACTTAGCCTCCTTATTTGACAGATTTATGTGTCGGTAATGAAATATCTGCTGACGGCTCTATGAGTCCCTCAGAGTGCATTGTGGAATCAAGGCCTGTTAGTCTTGTCCATTACTGCGCCCACACTTACCTTCTCGGTTTGATCCTTTCTGTTGCACATAAAGCTGTCATTTGAGCTCAGTAGTGACATTACCTCAGCTTAACACTGGGCCTCATTGTTTTCAACTCTGGAGCATTTATGAGGGCACTAAAGGAGAGATGCATCTGCTGTCAGCGAGATGAGGGCATCGCTGCTCTTATGGCGGAGGGGAAGGAATAAAATGAGGGAGGGATTGGATGGTGGAGGAGCGCTGGAGGGAAAGGAGAGAGTGCTCCTGTGAGTGGCTGTCCGATACCTGCAGGCACGCTGATATGGCAGCTGTCGTCGCTAAGATGTCCAGCTGGAAGGATCGCGGGCCTGTGTGCGCTGGCCGTCCTCCCACTCGCAGACTCCTGTAATGCCATTATAGATGTTCAGATGGGGATGTAACCTTAATGCCGAGCTTAGGGAGCATCTGGGCCTTACAAGTCTCTTTATTTCCAAACATGATTGCTTCATTTGACATTTGCAGCGGCGACGGCGTCTGGCTGACCTCGATTCATCTGAGCAGTGGTTCCCAACAGCTCTGTCGGACGAATCCAAGCACCTTCCCGAATTGATTTAAAATTAACAATTAATGACAGACAGATGGTTTTAAATTTGCGCTTATTCTGCTTAAAACTTTAGTGGCACAAAGTGGGCGTTTCAGCCTTTTATCTACTGTTTTTAGCTTATTCTGTAAAACTGTGTGTCCGTTAGCTTTAGCAATGTTACCTATTAAGATAATTTAATCGATCCCTGACCAGGGGAATGTACATGTTACAGCAGCTAGATACAAATGAGGCATGAAAGAAGCAGAGTAAGAATTATTCTATATAATAAAGACAGTGCACAGCTCTAACATGAGGCATGATGAATTTATATATGAATATGTACGGTACTTTAATTTGCACTGTTACTGCTTTTTTGTTAGATTAAGTAAAATGTAGATACTTGCCAAGGTTGGATTATAGCTGTTCTCGTCTGTTTCTCTGGTCAGAAGTCTTTGAAGCACAGTCACAGCAGGAATCGCATTTGATCCCAAAGCATCAGAGGAGCTCACTTTTCGGTTAACGCCTCAAACTGAGCCAGAACAGATAGCGTCTTTTCCAGAGGGGTCCACTGGAGAGCGCCGAGATTATCGGGGAGCTCGTATCTGGACCCAAATCTTTCAAGAGTTCGCTTCTGCTTGATTAGAGACTGTAGTGTGTGTTGTTATCACAAGCTGCTGTGTCTTGCTGGAGTCTTTTATCGGCTGGTTGAGCTGCATGTGAGTTTCTTCTAGATGGAGGTATGAAAAGCAAAAATGTCTTGTTTTAAAAATGCATTCAGTACATTTAAACCTAGTGTATGCATTGCTCGGGTGTTTTGGGACCTCTAAGATCAAGATGAGAGGAAACGCTGCAGACCCTGGTTTAGTTTTTTGGTGAATTGCGTTTTAGTCTGATCAGGTGGAAACACAGACACCTACGTTTAGTTTGATATCAGGTTGTATTGGTGTTGTTTTTTCCCTGATTTGCTCATCCATTTTATCCATTAGCCAACTTGAAAGTCCATCCATCCATTATCTATACACCGCTTAATCCTCACTGGGGTCGGTTCAATGCACTTGGCCCACCAATATCCATCCATTATCTATACACTAGGGTCATGGGGGGCTGGAGCCTATCCCAGCTGACTTAGGGCGAAGGCAGGGGACACCCTGGACAGGTCACCAGTCTATCACAGGGCCACACTTAGAGACAGACAACCAAGCACACTCACATTCACACCTACGGACAATTTAGAATCACCAATTAACCTCAACATGTTTTTGGACTGTGGGAGGAAGCCGGAGAACCCAGAGAGAACCCACACTGCACGGGGAGAACATGCAAACTCCACGCAGAAAGATCCTGGGTGTCCTCACCGGGACGAGAACCGGCATGATTATTTTAATCATGAACTGTATGTTCATTACTTATCTAACAAAGTATTTCTGCTGTTTGGATATTCCTTTATGCTAGCTGCAGAAACACCCATCGGTTACATGTGTCCCTGGTCGGCAAACACTGCCTTGAAGAATGACTTTACTGAATGACCTTACTGTGATATTCAAAACGTATCTCTAAATGTTCTTTTGTTTTCATTTTTATTTATTTATTTACCGAGGCTTAGTCAAGGCCAGATGTGTTTCTTATTCAAAATTATGCAACCTGACCTGGAGAAAATAGGCGGAGGTTCTAAGACAAGTTAGTAAGTGGGTGCAGTAATGAAGCGCCACATGCTGCAGTTTGTCACTGCGGTGCCATTTGTTTCTATGACTCTAATGGAGCCACTTGTAACTACAGAGGCTTTTGTTATGTGTTTTGAAGCCAGCAAAGCCAAAGTAATACATCAACCCAGCACAATACAAAAGCCCTCTCAGAAAATAGATTTGTCTGCAATTTAAAACTATACAAGCTTACATATGTTGTTTTTTTTTATTGCACAAACTATTTATAATACCAACCTCATCCAGTACAAGCACTTATCCAAGCTGCCCACCTCAGCTATCACTTAGGTAATCCACTTCTGTAATTGACCTCCTGCTTTTCTGAATGCCGCTGATTCTTTCTGTATGTTTTATAGACTATTACTAAACAAAAATGGCTCATTTAACCAACAATAGGTCCTGTGTGACTTTCTTGGACAGGCTCAGTCTGACCGGAGCCACAGATTAGATCCAGAGAGGAAGCGATGAGGTGAAGAAAAAAAGGGTTTTTTGTGCTTTGGATGCTGAATATTTGATGTTTTCGGAGGTCTCTGGATGAAATAATGTGCGATGAGACGGCCGTAGCATTACATAAGTACTAAGAGGGAAGCAAAGTAATCTCATGAGTGCAGGTGCTTTCACACTTAAGTGGAGATCAGAGATCGCGCTACATCTTTTACTTCATGCATGAAGTCACTCCACACGATGTAGCTTTTTTTTTTTGTCAATAAACTTGAATCCTTTTTACATCTCATCACAAATTAAATCATGCAAAACAGCTTCTAAGTTCAAAATCAACATTTCAAATCCTTTGATATCAGTGTCCTGATGTTTTGAAGTTGCCTGTCTTTGAGCGTCTCCAACACCGAGTAGCGTTATGGCACAACGAGCAGGGCATCTGGGGAGTTTATATACTTGTCAAACTCACCGCCTCATTTCATTTT